CTCAATCCACGGATCACTTTATCTCTCAAGAGTTGGTTTCAAAGACAATGTCTTTCACTATATTTTGCGCCAAATTGTGTGAAAACTTACATAAAGTACTAAAAGTGAGTCAAATGTTTGCAATTTGTTTGGCATTAAATTGGTGTCAAATATGATGTATTATACACTCATTTAAATCATTTTTATGTGAAATTCAATTAAAAATTAAATATTTGTTAAAACTATTAATCAAATTAAGTTTTATGTATTTATTCAATAGTAATGTTGTTTATGAATATAAATACAGTTACGCAATAATTTAATTCAATACAAGTGCCACACTTTACTATCGTTACACTACACCATAAATGCCCCCTTCAATGCTAATGCAATAATAAAACCCTCTCATATGGTGTTTACCCCCATATTTGGTAACGTTATATAAATACAATGAATGCAATAGTGTTTTGAAGTGACATAAAAGCCAAGCAATCAGTGATTCATTCATTTGAGTCAACAATTGAGTTGTGAATACATTTGTCACTCATTTGTTGTTTAGTATTATCGACACAAACACTGATTTAGTGGTCAATCAGTCCATAAGAGTCATACAAATGGAGAGTAAGTATCGCCACTAATATGAACCCATTTTCTCACATGAATTGCCGTTTCGTTTGACAACTCAATAAAAACGCCTTTCAATGAGCCATCGATTGACTAATGAATTGATTCACTGTTTGTGTCTCACTTTCAGAGCATTTATTTAATCTGAAATTCGCGGCCAAAGAGTTGGACCGGAATTCGCGTAAATCGGAAAAGGATGAGAAGACGGAGAAACTGAAGTGCAAGAAAGCCATTCAGAAGGGTAGGTCCCGAAAGGGTGATACCACCGATCAGTTGGTGGTCACAATAATCTCTGTGTCCGTATGATAGGCAACATAGAAGGCGCGCGAATCCACGCCGAGAACGCCATCCGCCAGAAGAATCAGGCACTCAATTATCTCCGGATGTCCGCCCGTATAGACGCCGTCGCCTCACGAGTACAGACCGCCATCACCACCAAACGGGTCACGCAATCGCTGGGCGGTGTGGTTAAGGCCATGGACTCTGCCATGAAGTCCATGAACTTGGAGAAGATATCGCAGATAATGGATAAGTTTGAGAAGCAGTTCGAGGACCTGGATGTCCAGACGCAGACCATGGAGAGCGCCATGTCGTCCACCACTACCATCACTGCCCCCGAGAATCAAGTGGACTCTCTTATGCAACAGGTGGCCGACGAGGCCGGGTATGTGTCCATTCATAGCACTTACTACACTGCTATTTGTTGCCAATTACTGATTGATATTTTTGTTGATATTATGTAGTCTTGAGCTGAATATGGAGTTACCGGCGGGTGAGACGGGTTCAGTGGGAACGGCTACCGCCGCCTCCACAGAACAGGACGATCTCTCCAAACGGTTGGCCCAATTGAGACAAATGTGAAGTACTGCTTAAACTAATTGATAGCCATTTGTACTTCTTTTTCCACAAACAACTAATGTATTATAAAATTTATTTAATTTCCTATTCAATGATTAATTGATACAAACATTTAAGTTCTTTTCAAAACAACACTTAAAGTTATTTTTATTCACATTTTTAATAAACATTACCGTATAAATTTATATTTAAATTATAAATAATTGCAATTCTAGAAATTACAAATAAAACAATGATAGATAAAAGCTAAGAATTTGTTTGATAATAAAAAACATTTGTCATTATTTGAACAAATTTTGATAAAACAAATAAAAAAAACGTTATGATTGAGTCAGAAATTAGTAAAAATTGTGAGATTTTTGGGTAAATTATGCGAGTTTTTAATTTCAATGACTGTGAAGTATGGACTATATTTGGATCGCATGTCGATGTCCGCGAATAAGTGCCGGAAATGAACTTTGGGTCGCTTTAAGGCCAGTGCGATGAGTGCGTCAATTGTCTTGTATGTGATGTTAGGTCTCGAGAAGAACTGAATGGACGTGAGTTGTGGGCAATTGGCGATCATCTGACACATGCCCTCATCGATGCGCTCCTTAGATATGAAGTGCCTTTTGGACGCTTTTATCACAATAACCGACAATTTGCTGAGTTTTGACAACGAGTTCATTGTGTTGTTTGTGATCTCGTCGTTGAAACTGATGTTCAAATGAGCCAATTGTGGCAAATATTGGTCGATGTCTGTGAAGAAGTTGTCGCTTAAGTTGAGTGATATTAGAGACAAATGGGTTAACTGTCGGTACGATTGCAATGTCTTGACACAAACGCATTGGTTATGATCTGTGGACACATTAAATGTGGAGCCAAACGTATCCAACTCTAAATGTCTTAAGTTATCGTAATGTCTAATACTTTCCAATAGCTGGGAGACAATCAATGACTCGATTTGTGCACTAAAACTAAAACTCTTGAGTTTTTGGCATTTAATGCCAATATTCTTAATATTGAGTGCCATTTGTGGCGAATATTCTTTGGATTTAATTGACGTTAACTTTAATTCCTCTAAATTGTCAAAAGCGTTGATTTTGGCGATTAAAGTATTTTCGGTCAAAACGAGACCCGAGAATCCGTTCAGTATATGAAGACTTTTGACACAACTCTTGTATTTATCGACAAAACTGTCGACAAGTCTTTCATCACTCTCTTCGTAAAAGAGTTTAATTTTCGTCAGTTTTGACAAAAAGATATTTTCATCGATAAAATACGATAACTTGACGCCGAGTAAGGTCTGTACGTTTGGACACAACCTGATGAGTGTCTTGTAGTGATTATCTCGCAGTTCGTGCGCTTCGGTGCCAATCATTTGCTGCACAGAAGTGCACAAAACAAACACAAAATCAATTGAAATTAATTGCGGACCGAATTTGTGGCCAAACTCTTTGAGCGTCTGTTCGGTGATGTCGTGAAACTTCATTGATATCGCCTTCAGATGATGACAGTGTCTGGCGATGGCTTTGACGGCGAACTCGCGGTTATTGAACTCGCAGTTGAAGGCGATCTCACGGATGGCGCGACACTTCTTGAGCACCGACTCGAAGGCCGTCTTATTGATGAGGATTTGCTTGTCATTTGAATAGTAGTCTCGTTTCACCATTAGTTTAAACAAATTGTTTCTGTCGTTCGTCTTGTTCTCCACTCTTAGGATGTATTGTCTGTTGAATACGAGTCGTTGGAAGCGCTTGCAGACCGACTCCAAGCGGATCTTGTCTTCAAACGACAGATAACTGAGTAATAGTTCGCATAAATCGTCGCAAATGCGAGCGTTGAATGAGCGGCACGTCAGCTGATCCATCGCTTCCATGGCAAAGGCTGGTGATTGTCTTGTAGTCAATCAGTGATTCATTGATTATTTGAAATTTGAATCAATTTTTTGTAAACAATTTGTTAGAAACTTATCATTCATTGTAAATACAGACTATTTGCAGATTGTCAACACAAACAACGTATTCATAATTGACAATAAATGGGGGTTTACTTCATAAGCATTACATGCAGTAAATGACTGATAAAACCCTCGACTGACTCGAAAGGGAACTCAAAATATTGAATAAAAGTAACGATTATTGAGTAGAAAGCGTTGCATTGACTCACAGTGTCATTGAAAGTGAAAACTCATTGTCAGATAAAAGTGTCAGAAAAAGATCAGTCACTGGAAGTGATCTCTTGTGCCGACACACAAACAGCATGTCATCCACGGACTCACCGAAACGATGGTCACACGTGAGTAAAGTGACGGAAAGGATGGGTCCGTTCGTCGTCGACGGGTTCGTGGGTTCGCCGCAAGTGTTGGAAGCGGTCAAAGAGTGTCCCGTATTAGTGATCGGCGCCGGAGGCCTCGGATGCGAACTCATCAAAGACTTGGCGCTCATGGGCTTCATGAACATCGAGGTGATCGACATGGACACCATCGACCTGTCGAACCTGAACCGACAGTTCCTGTTCCGCAACAAAGACATCGGGAAGTCTAAGGCGAAAGTGGCGGCCGAGTTCGTGATGGACCGCATCCCCGGCGCGAAGATTGTGCCGCACTTCAAACAGATCCAGGACTTCGACCAAGACTTCTTCCGGCGCTTTCAGGTGATTGTCTGCGGTTTGGACTCAATTATAGCGCGCCGTTGGATCAATTCGATGGTCTATAGTCTGCTGGAGTTGGATGAGGAGAGCGGCGACGTGTTGTCAACGGTTCCGCTCATCGACGGCGGCACCGAAGGCTTCAAAGGCAACGCTCGAGTCATTCTTCCGGGTTATGGCACGCCGTGTATTGAGTGCACTTTGGATCTGTTTCCGCCGCAAACCAATTACCCGCTCTGTACTATAGCCCACACCCCAAGACTTCCCGAGCATTGCATCGAATACGTGAAGGTCTTGTTGTGGCCCAAAGAGAAGCCATTTGGCGATGGGGTGGCCATCGATGGCGACGATCCCAATCACTTGCAGTGGATTTACGACAAGTCTGTCGATAGAGCCCAAGAGTTTAACATCGAAGGCGTCAACTATAGGCTAACTCAAGGCGTTATTAAACACATAATACCGGCCGTGGCGTCGACTAATGCGGTGATAGCGGCCTCCTGTGCCACAGAAGCCTTCAAAATAGTCACCTCTTGCGCGCCATATATGAAGAATTATATGATATTCAACGACAGCGACGGTATCTATACGTACACCTATGAGGCAGAGAAGAAGGAGGACTGCATTGTCTGCAGTAATGTTCCCAAAGCTATTAGATTCAAACCAAACGACAAACTCGAGGACGTCATCGAAGCGCTGATCAATGACTTCCATATGAGAGAGCCGGGGATTGTGATCACAACGCCTGAGGGCAAGACTAGGACGCTGTACATGAAGAGCGTGGCCGCCATTGAACAGATGACTCGACCCAACCTCAAGAAAACGCTGGAAGAGCTGTCACTCATCGATGGACAGCAGCTGATTGTGGCCGACGTAACGACTGTTAACTCTTTGACTTTTATTCTTAAATACAACTGAATAGTGAACACAATTCTTAGCAATAAGTTCATTATTTTTTCACATTTTTCTGTCACTTTTCAATAAATAGTAATTTATATAAAAATAAATTTAAATGATTTACTAATGAATGGATTACTTTTTAAACATATTATTTCTAATACTTAATACCCTAATAGCAAAACGGATTTATAAACGATTGATTGAAACAAATTGTGGCGAATATGAGAAGACATGAATGAACTGATCCCACGAACAGTCGACTATTTGGTCGTTAATATGACGATTGAAGTCAAGACTGAACACAAATTCCGAGTGTTGTTGTGATGTGAACAGCAGTCCATCGTTTGTGTTGATGTCCCACAAGCGAGTGGTCATATCGTAAGACGTGGAACCGATCACCGATTGTCTGTGCGGCGAGAATTTGACACATTTAGCAGCTTTTGAATGACCAGATAGTGTGCGCATAGGATTGGCTGCTGATCTAATGTCCCAAACATTGATCGCGCCGTTTGTATCACTGGTTGTCATTAAGAAGTGATTGAATTTATTCCAATCGCACGACAAGACTTCGCCTGAGTTGTGGACAAACCATTAGTTTCTATCACTTGTCTATCATTTAGTCAATACATACCTAAACTGACTCTAATGTTAAGCAGAGGTTGACTTTGTTTTAATGACCAGAGTTTGAGTGTAGAGTCGCCCGAAGTGGTGGCAAATGTTTGCGGTATGAATGGAGACCATTGACCGCTGTATACAATGCTCTCGTGGCCTAAGAATGTGTTCACGAGTTGTGTTGTCAACACATCCCACACTTTGACCGTTGAGTCCGACGAGACGGTCAACACGTGTTGAGAGTCGCATGTATTGGGCGACCAATTGATTGCGTAGATCTCGCGCGAGTGACCTCTCATCACATGAATGGGTATATCGATGGAAGTGTTGCTTAAGTCCCAGACCTGTATAAACCCGTTGGCACTGACTGTCCACATGATGTTTGGGTGACATTCACTCCAACACAAGTCATACAACGGGTCGCCATTTGATGGGAAGACGTGTTTGCAGTCAATGTCTGGTCCAAAGTGGGTATTCATTATCTCCAAGACATACAGAGCACCACTTCCTATGGATTGCATACAAATGGTGGTTATTATCCATTTTGAGACATTTGCATAGACTTACCGGCGATGCCGTAGTTCTGCGAAGAGACGCATCCAATGAATTGCGGTAAATGTGGACAAAAGGCGACGTTATAGCAGTTGAAGCCAAAGGTCCTGAACTTCACAACCATTGTCTCCTTCCGACTGTCACTCCATTCACTGATCACTTTGTTTACAAACAAACACTACATTACAGGTTACAACAATACAGAACATTAAAAGGCATAACTCTAGTCATTCATTGTGTTATAGTTAAGCCCTTTAGTGAGAGTTAATAAAGTGATGAAATCGTTAAATAACGTCAACTAAAAAGTATGAAACGAAAGCCCTTTTACTGAAGACCTTAACAAAGAAGTGAAGAGTGAATGCATAGAAAGACTCCCTTTTGGGACGTAATTGCAAGACATGTCACAAATGGCGCGAAATGTGTGTAAAATCGGCGCAAAAGTGTTGAGAGAAAGACAGCTCTTGAGAGACAAACTCAGCGTTGGTTTGCGTCAAGAAGTGATCCGTGGATTGAAATTGTTGTGAGACAATGAGTGGTGCGATGAATGGGACTGCGAGTGAAGAGCCGGTGAGACAACTGAAGTACTCGAAGCTGACGGACAGTGCGTTCGGTCCGACGCGAGGGTCTGAGCGGTCGGCCGGTTATGACTTGTACTCCGCCTATGACTACACGGTTCCCAAGAGAGGCAAACAAATGGTAAGACATGTCAGACATGGATGTGTTGGACATACATGTGATGAGTGACACCACTGTATGGCACCTGTAGGTCAAGACCGACATATCTGTGGCCATACCTTCGGGCTGTTACGGACGGATAGCCCCGCGCTCTGGACTCGCGTGGAAGCACTCCATAGACGTCGGCGCCGGTGTTGTGGACGAGGATTACAGAGGAAACGTTTGCGTCGTTTTGTTTAACTTGAGTGACGATGACTTCTGTGTCCAAAGGGGTGATCGCATCGCACAACTCATCTGCGAACGCATCGCCAAAACACAACTCATTGAGTGCTCACAACTCGACGACACCGACAGACAGGACAAGGGCTTCGGGTCCACAGGAGTCTCACTTCCGGACACCAAATGATCAACACATCCATCGTTTGTTTGATTACTTGTCTGCAAATTGTATTCATTTTTGATTCACAAATGTCTAGAAATTGAATCATTTGTTGTGTTTTGCTATCAAAGCATTCATTTTGGCAATCATTACAAGTATTTGATCTTAAAATTGAAGTTTTAATTAAATTAAACATTGATTTGTTTGTAAATTGCAATAAAAATAATGATTAAAATGAAAAACAATTGTGTTTTAAATGATTAAAATAATAGCAAATCATGCGTTAATTGTAAACCCATTTAAAGGCAAAATTTGTCGAAACAATTAAATACAGAAATGATTGCAAATATAAATAACAAACACGAGATTGAGATGAAGACATACATGAGGACATCGCCGTCTCTGATGGACACGTACTTCGACGTCAACTTCTCCTTCTTCGGCAACTTCTTGGCNAATTTGTCGAAACAATTAAATACAGAAATGATTGCAAATATAAATAACAAACACGAGATTGAGATGAAGACATACATGAGGACATCGCCGTCTCTGATGGACACGTACTTCGACGTCAACTTCTCCTTCTTCGGCAACTTCTTGGTCACCTGAGTCTATGAGTCTGAGACCATCTTTGTCTCATTGATTGCTTTTCAATGAGTTATGATAATTGAAAACTTCTATTCGAGAGTCGGATATAAATTATACGATATAACCATTAGATTAAACTCAGTGATGAAATTAACATTAAATGGTTTATAATCAAAATAATAATAATTAGACAATGGACTCGATTCTTATGTAAATTTGGTTTTAGATCATTAGACTTTAAGCACTGGTATGTCTGCACAAGAATACAGGAACAAAAAATTGGATTTAAATTGAAATTAAATATTAAATACAATATAAACCAAATTTATATATAATTTCCAAATCCTTTGCAAATAATTTCTAATTTATTAATAATTGAAATGTGCTTGCATTCAATCTACGGTATTTATTATAGAATACTATGATTATTGAAAACAAACACTTGAATACAATCACATTTTTGCAAACATGTAAATTAATTGTTATAACTAATTTTATTTTCAAATATTAAATTTTAGTAAATTTAAGTTAGTTTAAGAAAAGTTTAGACCACATGGAGACATAGAATAATTATCATTGCAATTGTGTATTTAATTAGAGATTAAAAATTATTCTTTGCTTTTAACCATAACTTATAATTAAAGGGTGGAAAGGGATGTCTTGACATTGTATTCATTTACAGAATAAACATATAATGAGAACTTAGACCTCAAAACTAAAATAATTGAAAATTGCAAATTTGGTCAATATTAACTTAATATACTTTCATAAAATATTCAAATGATTCAATTGACGAATGGTCCATATTATTTAACGTCAACACCCATTAACCCCCCCCCCCCCT